CAAAGATGTGTCTCATAGAATGTAATTGGCATCCTCATTAAATACACCAGAGGTGTATTATATTGGTAAAACATGGGGTAATTGTTTCCATAGAATGTGACAGGCACTCCCATGAAAGGCTCCAGGGGGTATTATATTGGTAAAACATGGGGTAATAGTTTCCATAGAATGTGACAGGCACTCCCATGAAAGGCTCCAGGGGGTATTATATTGGTAAAACATGGGGTAATAGTTTCCATAGAATGTGACAGGCACTCCCATGAAAGGCTCCAGGGGGTATTATATTGGTAAAACATGGGGTAATTGTTCCCCATAGAATGTGACAGGCACTCCCATGAAAGGCTCCAGGGGGTATTATATTGGTAAAACATGGGGTAATTGTTTCCATAGAATGTGACAGGCACTCCCATGAAAGGCTCCAGGGGGTATTATATTGGTAAAACATGGGGTAATAGTTTCCATAGAATGTGACAGGCACTCCCATGAAAGGCTCCAGGGGGTATTATATTGGTAAAACATGGGGTAATAGTTTCCATAGAATGTGACAGGCACTCCCATGAAAGGCTCCAGGGGGTATTATATTGGTAAAACATGGGGTAATTGTTCCCCATAGAATGTGATTGAATCCCCCATTAACGACTCCAGGGGGGTATTATATTGGTAAAACATGGAGCTTGTGTCTCTCCAAAAATGTTATTTGCACTCCCATTAAAGACTCCAAAGAGGTATTATATTGGTAAAATATGGGGCAAGTGACTCTCATAGAATGTGATTGGCATCCTCATTAAAGACCCCAGGGGGTATTATATAGTTAAATCATGGGGCAAGTGTCTCTCATAAGAATGTGATTCTATTAAAGACTCCAGGGGTGTATTATATTGGTAAAACATAAAATATTTACAATATTGTGTAAATAATATGATACTTAAAGCTATGTGTTTAGAGAAATATAAAAATGAAGTAGGACAAGAATTGATCTTTTTAAAATTATTCTTATTTATAATTTATTGCTAGGAACTTTCAAATCTTTGATTGATGGTTATAATAACCCTCCCAAAAAAGGATTTTCCAAGATGGCCGACATTATTATTTTTTATATATATGCTGAAAGTAAGAATGATATTGATGCAGCTATTGCCAAAATAGAGAAGTTAATAGCCACTGAGTTCATTGACACTGTAAGTAGACATACTTCTTACCATTGATGTAGACTCCTTCAATTTACTGATGAGACTTCACATGTATGTATTCAGTTACTAGTATAATGATGGATGAAAAAACATAAATGATGTCTGATTCTTAAAAATACGTGAACATTTTTCGGCAGTATTAGGAAGTAATTTAGATTTCTCTGTCAAAATATGTTATACATGCATGCACAGATTTAATTGTCGAATAGCGTTGAATTGTAATTGTACATGTTCTTGCATGTGTGATGAATATTTCAAAAATCAACATTATTTTTAAATTAAACTGATTATTTGTTTGGCTGATATCCGTTCTTTTAACGCATCAGGGCTGTATGAGGGACAAGGTATGGGAAATGAACACACAGTGAACACACGATATTGCCAGTAAATAAGTGGGGGGGGGGTATTCTCCCTCACGTGCAGGTGTCGTAGCGGCCGACCCCATGATGCAACTCGCAGATTTGAGTTGCACCATGACATGGACAATGTGGTACCTGAGTGTAAACGGTCTGTACAGCAACCCTGCCAGCGGGCATTGAGGGGGCTGTTAATTGTCACAGTACGAGTCACAATGTAGAAATACCCAAGCAAGGCTGAGGCCGCTGCAGTGACAACCCCCAAATTACGAGTGGTGCAATATCACAGTCATTGTCGAATGAACATGGATGTGTATCTGCAAGTAAAAAACATGTGGTAATGATAAAGCGACTGAGGTGGATTAGCATAATGTATCTTCGAGCACAGCAAATTCAGCCGAAATCGTGGTCAAACATGACCTGTGCAGTGATAAGCGAGTTGTGCATAACTCAAGTTAAAATACGAGGTCAAACAAATACAGTCAAGTACTAAACGTACCTTGATACAACATAAATGACAAACTGAATCAGGCAGGAATAAAAGAAATTATACGGTATCAAAATGCGAAGCCATCCATACACCATACTGCATTGATTTAAGATCTACAAAAATATATTTAAATGGTCGCATGAGTTGCAATGCTTAAAGAAATCAAACTTGCCGATAAGGCTAAATTACCACATATTATAGTGCAACAGTTTAACACATGATTGATCAAATGAAAGTTCATCACAAATGTTCAGGCAAACGTTGAGTGATGTTATTGGTGCCCAAGGAGTCCAGGAGTTCGCTCCAGTGTTGTTGTTGGTGTCTGTCATTACACCTGATAGGCATCACTGCGCCATCTTCCAAGACATTTAATAAGCCAGTCAGGTATGTTTGCAGCAGCTGCCGTGGTGGCTGCCCCACTTCGGAAACTGTGGCTGGTGTACTGTGTGATGTTCGACTGTCCCGATTGTGCAAGCAGTTGCTGAAGTATGTGGGTAAGCTTCTGTCGTGTGAGGT